ACACGTTTAGCGTTCATCAGGTGCGTCCAGAACACGGCCACAGATTTCTTTATCTCCCTTCTCGGAAAGTGAACATGGCACGTGGACGTGACAGGAGGGTGAGCGATACGCACGATAACGTAATTCTCCTTAATCAGTGATCAAGTCTGGGTCCTTTGAAGGACGCGGGAAACGTGACACATAACAACACAAGGAACCTGTTATGGCGGCGCGCATAGAGAAGCCCCGGAAAGTTACATTAATTATAACTTAACGAGCATGAACTACACACGTATTACACGACCGCGCCGTGTAACATGTGTCGTTTGTCATATTTCCAACTCTGTCCTATGCTTCGTCCTGTGTGATATTAATTCAGCGTCATGCGTTGCGTAAACTATTATAAAACCAGGTATTTCAATCTCACTCATATAAACGTTAAATCCCACCCTAAAGGTGCAATTTAACAAATGATAACTAAGTGCGCAATTTAACAAGCAACATTTTCGTACGAAATGCTTATTTGAACGTGTTATCTGCGTCGCACGCACCCACACATAAACGTAAACAATCGTTCGCGGAATTCATGTACGTCTCGCGCGTATATTTTTCAAGTATTCAGTGTGCGCGTGCGCGAATGAATTCTCCGCGCGTACCCGGGCGATATATCGACTCGCAATAATTTCACTTTCAACAATGCGAAGTCAACTCAGCGCGATACAGATTTAAAGCTCACCTGTTAAACGATTATTTGAATATTTTATTTTATCGATTTACTGGCCCGACTGTTGCAGGCTGTTTCTCTCCTTTCACGTACGATATTCCTCGCCCGTCGACTCCCTGACGCGTCGCAAATGAGCCGCGAAATTCCGCAGCGCGGTACCGCGCGCGTCCCGAGGAATGATGCTAAAATTTCGCGAGATTTCCCGCGATAAAGCCGATCAGGCGCCAGTATTTTCCCGTGTAGGAGGATTTGCGCGCGCGGTTCGTGAGGGCGGCGCTGTTTCTCTCTTCCGGTCGTTGCAGTTTCTCAGAGCGCTGCGCACGGGGAACACGAGGGGGAGAGAGAGAGGAATCCTGGCCAAGAATAACGATATTTTTCGCCCTCAGCTTACCGGCCGTTTCCTCGCTAACAAGTGGACTTAAAAAGCGCGGCCTCTTGCATCTTTTACGTGCGTTTAATGCGGCGCACTTAGCACGTCGCGGACGGCGGCGTGGATCGTTTACCAAGCATCTTTTCGTAGCACCTATACCTACACGATGATCTACGGGATTTACATTTCACATGCTAGCTTAGACGCGTAATATTACGAGAAAGTCCCGGTCGCGCGTTTTTCGCGTTATATGGAAACGCAAAGAGACGCGAAGATGTGCCGATTTATCTCGAGTAGAAGGACGCGTTAAAAGCCTTTAAGGATGGCTTTAATGGCTGTACTCTATTAGCAGAAATTTTTTTTTTATCACAATGATATTTTAGAAAATGCTTATTCGATGTTATTCAACACTTGCTAATTTTGCATTTTAAATGTTTCATCTCAATTTTGATAAACAATGTATGAAGTATGTAATTTACTCGTCCGCAAATAGAATATTACGACAGGCAGTTGTTAGATAAGCAATCCTATATTGAAGAAGGCGTGGCTTTTTCATCCATTTTAAATTCATTGTCGCCTTTTTTCAGCGATTTTGTGACCTCGAGAAGTATAATGTAAACAGGCACGCACGAATGAACAATTACAACAGACTTTGATGCAAAGTCCAACGTATTGGGAGCGGTCTCACATTATTGTAGATATTTTCGAATTGATTCAAACACGCGTCATGTTAGTTCACACGCGCGATCATCGTGTTAGAGTCGTCTCGAGTATGATTTCCCTCGCGGAATTTTATAGCTGACCATCTCTTTTTTATTTTTATTAGTTTAAAAAAGAAATATACAGAGTCTTGAGCTACTTTTTATTTTTATTAGCTTAAGCTTGAAAGCGACTACCACTTTTTATTTTTATTAGTTTAAGGCTCTTTTAAGGGGGCGGCTATCTTTTATTTTTATTAGTTTAAAAGAGAAATATACTGTCTCGAGCCTCTATATTCCTGATACACCCGTCGATATAACTAACCGGAAAACTTACTTTTTGTTCCAGATCTGGCAGAGTTTGTGGCCACACGGTGGATGCAGTTCCCGGGAGTGCTGTCTCGATGGACGCGAACGCTGTACCGAGGGATTCGGTTCGGGCCGAGCAAGATCGGTTCGAAGGTAAGTCCATAGACCTTCCCGTACTCTTGAAATTGACCGTTTCGATCGGAAATTGGGATACAGTTGTCGGGCATAAAAATCGTTGAGTTATAATAGTCGCAAACGATAAACTCTCTTTATTCACGCGTATTTTTTTCGCTACATTATTAATACTCCTAATAAATCAGCGAAAATTGTATCTTTTGCTTCAGATCCGTCGCAGAATGTGGCCGATCTTGAATCCCAGCTACTTCGGTAAGTCAGAAAACTGGGTTCACAAAAAGTGATAGGTGATGGATATAAACATTTAAAGTAGCGGGTGTTTAGAAGATCCCTCGAAATCAATGCGACTTACTTTGCTGGTAGATTTTCGCACGTCGGGTTTAGTAAACATATGCAAGGTGTAGAATTAATCGGCGGATCTTTTCGTTTAAATTCCCCTATAATTCTCTACAATTTCCCTAAAATTCCCCTAATTCTCTTAGATAGTGCAAAATGCGCATCAAAATTGCGTTACAGCCTGATTCGAGATTTGCAGGTATATTACGCTGGAATTTATCGTGTACTTTTCCTTAGTCGTTAAATCGTTGAATCATTGAATGGCTGAAACGTCAAACCGTTGAACCGACCGTTTAACCGTTGAACCGTCAAAATGATCGCGGTCACGAGCGCAACGTACTGAAGCGAAGTGAAGTGAGTGAAGAGCGTCGTAGGACGACTGGATGTTACAGAGGTTGGACGCTGAGGAGACTGAACGCTCACAAAGCGTTGCATTATGTAGTACAAGTTTAGACACAAATCGTATTGATTGTCCGACTAGAAGAAATTATCGCACGAAGATCTTGTATCTCTCTCGACAATTTTAGATGATTCAAAACAGATTAAATGCTTAATGGCGGCTCATTTATATATAAGCGTAAAGTATAATGTTTCCTCATCTCGTGTCTGTGTGGGATTCGAGTTATCCGCGACTAAAAATATGCAAACTAAGCAGGAAGGTATCGAAAAGCCATAAGGTCCGTGAGACTTTCGTTCGAAACTGGCTTATCCCAAAATATAGGGCATACATACATATATACATACACACGTGTCCCCTCGTATAAATGATAATGTCAACAGATTTACTTCCGCCGATACGTTGTCGGACCTGAGAATACTTCCGCGTCATCGTGGGAACATTATATACCACTGATGGAAATTTTATCACCGCCAAACAATTTCTTGATCGGACGCACAATATGTCGCGCCTCTGCGAGAATATTACATGAAATAAAAGAATTAGCTGTCCATATAATACAGATTAACGTCGCGTTCGCTAAAAATTCAACGGGAACGCAATTTCTTCCTCGGGGAGAATAATAGTAGCAGCAAAAGCGCTGGCTTCCAGTTCCCGCGCACCACCTCGGCACCCTATAAACACACATCCGTCTCGCGGATGCTGCACGCTGGCGGAGAACGCGCTTTGCGTATTCCAGAGATAGGAACAAAAGCCGTCGGAATAAGCTCGTAGGATGCTCGACGCGTCGTAAGCTCCTCGCCTTCGTCGTCGAGGCTACGCGCCCCAGGGGTTGCGCGGGGATTGCGGGGTCGAACCTTGTCGAAAAATCGCGAGAACTTTTCCGGGGCTTGTCGAAGGCCTCTTCCGACCGTCGCGAAGTTTGTCCATGAACGTGGTTGGAGTGGACGATCACACGAGTGTAGGTGTGTGTGCGTGTGTGTATGAGTGGATGGGTAGGTGGGGCTGCGCCGGCGGGTTTCTGAAAACAGTAATTTTTCTCCCTAACCCCTCCCGCCTGTCCTCTCGTAGCTTCGCCGGCGTCACCGCCGACTACTCCTCGCCCCGTCGTCCTGCGAGAGTCGAGGGGGACTTAAGAGCCGAGCTATCGTCTCGTAAAGGCGGAAGTATGACAAATTGAAACGACCATCGACGAGAGCGATTTCCAATCATATCGTTCCGCGCTGCTGTCCGCGTGCTCGTTGACTACTCGTGCGCGAAAAGAGAAGAGACGCCATGGTCATCCCCTTGAGTAACGCGGAAGTAAACAGTGAGTTACTGATGAGCGATAAACGTACAACGAGAGCGTCCTCCACTTTGGCGCAGAATTTTAATCATTTGGAAAAAGAGACAGAGAAAATTTTTATACACGATATTTAACCCGTGAATGTACAAGCGAATGCGTTTATGCGATTTATAAGATCGATCAAAGGACGATGGGAAAATCGATTGATTTTAATCCCCAAAATGACAAGTAGAAATTTTTTTTTGTAGATTTGAACTTTTCATTTATCACTCTGAGGGCGAAAATTAACAAATTAACTCGGTGGAATTTTTCTACCCTGACAACAAAACTGTTTCCGTTTTAATAACAAATCATTCGTTAATTTGATTATGCCAATTAAATTTGACTTGGAAGGAAAGAAGAAAAGAATGAAAAATCGCCACCTCACATTTGCGATGACGCTGATATCGCATGCGTTAAGTACACCCCGTCGAAACGATCGAATAAATTTCACCCGCCGACTTCCTTAGTGGCGCGTGCATCCTTCCTATATTCTCCATTATGCATCGTGTGTATATTCAAAATTTCGAGCAGATCATAACGCGACGCGAGTTACGGGTGCGCACGTATTATGCGGCTGTATCGGGCGTGTTGCATAAGCGCCAGCGAATACTTTGCCGTAAAGTTTACGGCTGTAAAGGAGCGACGCCGAGGCGCAAAAGGGCGCTCCGGTTTAGCGATACGGGCGAAAAGATCGAAAGAAAAGGCGTCGCCGAAAAGCTACTTACGCGGAGCCGTTGTGTCGACCGATGGACACCAGTCGATATATCTGCAGCTCGACCCGCTGCCCGGTATCCGGCACGAATCTGTATGTACACCTCGAGGGCCCTTGGAGATACGGCGACTTTATTTGCCCGAAGCCGCGATCCGATTTGCTGAACAGCTGCCTGCTGTCCAGCGTTATGTTGCACACTGAAACACGGGACAAAAGCGATCGTGTTAGCGTGAAAATACGGCCGGCCGAATATTGCGCGCGCGCAAGTATGACATAACGAGTTCGCTCACCCGCGTTTTTCGCGAGGATTAACATCGCAGCGTCCTCGAGCGGACATTTTCTCAGAATTCCTCCCGGTAAGTTTCGCGTATACTCGCCCGTTGCTCCGTATTCTTCGCGTCTAACTTTTCCGTTTCTCTCGGGCGCGCTGCGATTTCTGCGCGCGAAGGACGGCAGCGGTGGAAAAAGGAGAATGGAGTTGGCTGCTAATAAACGATATTTCTCTCGCTCGCGTATTGTTTCATTGGCGCGCCTCGTGCAGCCGTTCGGGCGACGAGTCGCGACAGCTCGGCGCAATATTATGAGGCGAGGTGCCATAGTGTGTAATTTGATTCTTAATTGCTTCCCGTGGGATGTTGCGCGGGATATTCCGCGATTGTGGCGCGCGGATGCCGTCTTGGAAGCCGCGGTATTACATTTCTCGGGAATCATCTCGTTAATATCGGGATCGTTTTTCACGACGCTTCTTATGTAAAGCAAACGTAAGACTCGTGAGAAATGCGATTTCTTAAAAAAAAAAAAACGCTCTTCTATTGTTTACATCTTCTCCGTTTTATATCTTCCTTCATTGGAAAAAGCTCGATTTTCGTTGCGTAAGATTCAATTTCCACTGTTCGTCTCCGTGGCGAAATATCAAAAGCATGAATCGTCACTCACTGCGGATTTCTCATTTGCATGGAAAAAAGTTGAGCAACAAATTGGCGCGAGCGAAGCGTCTATAAAGTCATATTTACGCGGCCTCACATATATTTCCCGCGGAGCTGCGAAAGAAACCCGAGGAAAGTAGGATTTGATGGATGGAACGTGAAGGCAATATCGCTCCCAAGTAATTAGCGCAGAGAAAGGTTAGATGGATGAAGCATAAGAACTTCGTCAAGAGTAATTAGTTATAAGAAGGTGAGGTCGAACGGACGGCACAGGGGAGCGGCAGCCGCGATTTATTTCGCGCGCGCAAACGCGTTTAAAGCGCGGCCGTAAACATGTCGTGTCTTCTCCGTTACATCACACACGATCACCGCCGACGTCTCGGTATCTTTTGAGCATCGCCGAGCGAGCGTCCTCTCTCATAAACGGGCCCGTACGCATGTTCTCTTTCCCGTTCTCATCCTCGCTCTTTGAATCACACCTCCGTTTCCGCTCCATCCCACGAACCGCACTTCCAAAGAGACTTCGCCCGGCCGCGCGCTTTAATTTCCACTTGTTCGCGCGACACGAGAGAGCGACTGCAAACGAGAAGCGGCGCGAGGAAAGTGGCTTAATGGCGCGAATCTTGTTCCTGGCGTCGGCACAGACTCAAAGAGAGAGCGAGAATGAGAAAGGAAGGGAGGAAAGGTCGTATCCGTATCTTTTCGTCGAGACGTAATTATATTTCCCCGTAGGACTGTGGCGGCAAATACGTGAGTTAGTTGATTCCCGCTGGGCGCGAGAAGGAACGACAAAACGGCGGTGATATCGAGGGAAAGAGATCTCTCTCTCTCTCTCTCTCGAGAGAGAGAGAATTTCCGCTCGCCGGCCGCAAAGTATTAATAAGTGTCGCACCTAATAAGCGTCACACACATTCGTGACACGTATCTAGTATCTCGATAACGGAGCTGAATTGATTCATTGTTTGTATAGTGGTTTTTTGTTAAGAGTGCCCTCCAAAATGTGCTGGTTTGTTGTTTTATTCGCGGAACAACCTGTATATTCTCATCCCCCTTGAGAGACGTATGATTATTCTGTCACGACGATTTCACACGAAATCCGAGTCAAATGTAGTCACACGCGCGGAAGTCTCCAGTCTCGCAGTGAAACGTCACGTTCAAGCGAGTACTTTAGTTGAAAGTAAAGCTAATGTCACGCCGTAAGTTAGGGCTTACTTAAAGATACTTACTATTCGCGCAATGCTGCTCCAGGCCGCACTGAGCGCATCTATCGGGCGAAGCTGCGCCGCAGCTGCAGCCGCCCGACGGCACGCAGCAAGCGCAATCGTTGCTGGACGAGTTGAAGCTGCAGGCGCAGCCGGTGGTGCTCTGCGTCCAGAGGTCGACCTGACCTGAAACGAGACAAGCCGTTCGGTGAGAAACGATCGCTTTTAGCTTGCGTGTTACATCGCGTTATACTAACATGGCATTTCAATTCCCGTAACGCTAACAACGCTAACGCGAAAGAAATTTTTTCACTTTTTGTGGGACACGAATGATTCAACGGGATCGGAAGGATTAAGTTGGATCGATTTTTCGAACGAATTCAGAGGTTGAGACATCGCTGTGCTGAGCGCGAAATCGCGGATGCAAACGCACGCGCCGCGCGATTAAAAAATAACGCCGACGCCGTAGTGTGTATTTTGTAAAGTGGAAGAAAAGAATTGTCCCGTTTTCCTCAGTAATATTGCCGAGATAAAAAAAATACGGCCGTCATCGCGCGGGATTTTTTTCTCACGCGGGGCGGATTTAAATCAAATATGGCGCTGGATTTTTCCGATATTTTTTCACGGCTCCCGTTGAAGTTTTACAATACCGTCGAAATTTGTGATTAATTATTAATTTTAAGCCGCCCTGGAATTTTAATTATCGGCACGGTGTGTGACAGGAGCATTTCACGTTAACATTATTATACACATAAAAGCGAGGTTGTTTCATTACTTCTAAATTGTCGGCGAAATTATATTCGGTGCTCCTGCACGACGGAAATTCACATTTTGATTGACACTACGAATATCGTTATATGGGGATAATAGTTATGTACCGTCAATAATGTCTGCAATACTCCTATTGTATCGGCATTAACCCGCAGACGGGCTCTTTATTGACCCTGGAAACGCCGTGCGCGCCATGTCGAGGTGACGTACTCGATAACGCAAATATAACGCACAATGTCCGAATACGCGCGTCGACGCTCCGTTTAATTGACACGGCCGTGTATTATGTGCGCCTGACAAAAATCAAATCAAATTCGCCACCCTCCTATAATCGACTACTGCCTGTAACACTCGCGCGAGCCTACCGAATGTTCGTAACGAGCCCTACGAGTTTCAGCAATCGAAGTTGCACCGGCGGACAGACGAACGGACGGGGACTCTCCATTCTGGGTAAACGGCTCGCGAGCTTTGTCGGACGGTTTTGAGCGTCCACTTGATCTGCTTTCAACTTGATATTCCTGGCACGATATTGCGTTTTTCGACGTCGTGTCCGTGCTCCTACACGTGCTACTACGCTTCCACTCCCTCTCTCTCTTTCTCTCTTTCTCCTTCTCTCGTCTACCGCATTCTCCTCATGCTGCGACTTTTTTTCATCGCGCGCTCTTACGCGGCCGTGTTCCGCGACACCAATAAATAGAAATGCAGTGAAAAACGATAGACGTGTAGAGGAAGAGGAGAGAGGAACCGCACCGAGATACAACCCTCCCCCCTTATCCCCGCGCGACGAGCGATTGTTCATTGTTTTTCCCCGCGTCTGCTGACCGGATTGCATCCGCTCGCCTTCGAGTTTTTGCCGTCGTCGTGTCTCTCATCCAACGATTTTCCGAACGTGCTCGATGAACCGGCAAAAACACGGTTATTAATACAGTATAAAAGTCCCCTTCCCCCCTCTCTCTCTCTCTCTCTCTTTTTCTCTGTCTTTTTCTCTGCCCGAACTGCGCACGGTGCTCTACCAAGTGGAGAAAACTTCTCACCCGATTGCGTAAAAAGTTTAGTGAGCGCGTCGCGTCGCGTTAGCTGACTCTGCGGAATCCGTTCTCGGCAAGGTCTTTAACACTCCGATTGAATAGACGTCATCGCGCGCTTCGCCAACTTCGCGCGAGTCCCATTGTGTAATTTTCAATGCAGTTTTGATTATTGTCGACGATGACGAACGGAAGGGAGCGGTCCGGCATAGGGCACGTCAAACTCTTCGCAAATAAGGGCGATAATCCGATTTTCAAGTAGAGACGAGCGGATGTGCGTCACGGGCTCCTTGTCACGCTGGGGGATTACATATTTCCATCTCTCTCTCTCTCTCTCTCTCTTTTCGGTTCGCGGCTGCTACGTAGAAAATTCGGTGCTGCTCGTTTCTCGGGCTCTCCGATCCGTGATTTTATACGCAAGTGGCGTTCTCGCTCGTCTACCCGCTCGCTTGTCGTTCTCCTCGACGAGGGAATCGTCGCCGGTAATGTTGCCATGTTCACGTCATTCCACCGTCGATCGATCGACAGGATCGATAGAGAACTCCTGGGAAAGAGGCCGCGGCGATTCGGCGTCTAATAGAGATTTCCGGTTGATTCTGCAAACGCGGAGATACGCGTGCGTGATTGATTGTCCGAGAAGAGTGCGGGACCGAGGGAGAGAACGAGAATTAGGGAGTGCGTGGGGGTGGAGACGCCGCCGAATAACGGCCGTCAGTGAGGGGGGAGGATGGGGAAGATAGAAGAGAGAGACAGAGAGGGGCGGAGTTGGAGAGAGGCGGAGAAGACGTGGAACGGTGAAGAGGGTGCAGGGAAAAAGGGGAAAGAGAGGGGGGGGAAAGAGGGATAGAACGGCGAGAGGAGAAAGAAGACATAAATTCCGAGCCAGTGTAAAAAGGGCGTTAAGAGGAGAAGCCCCGGCACCCCCGATATGTCAATATCCCGAGGAAATACGGGGCGGTACTTGGCCGGAGGGATAGTAAAAATAAAGCAAACTTTATGGCCGCTGCTGCCGTTGCTGCTTTTGCCTCCGCCACCGCGCTACGACCATCGATGCCGCAAAGGCGGAAATGTATTTCGGAAAAACGTCCGTTCTCCTTGTGCGATCCTCCTCTCCGGCCGCGGATTGCGGTCGGCCGGCTGCCTGTGCGTCCGGTGAGAGGGTTAGATTCGGGTTTTTACGGTGCGTGATAGAAGACGTAAGACGCGGATCACCGGAGGCCGTGAAAGGGGGAGAAAAAGAGAGAGAGAGAGAGAGAGTAGCAATTGGATTCTTAATCCATCGATTTGGTCTCGATTACGCGGGGGTTTGTTTAAACGGGGAGAGAGAGAGAGAGAGAGAGAGAGAGAGAGAGAGAGAGAGAGAGAGAGAGAGNGAGAGAGAGAGGGTGCCGGCGCGTCAGTATATCGCCGGGATAAAAGGAATCGCGCGAGGCGATTCGAGGGGATAAGGAGCGGCGATACTCGCGTAGGGCTCAACCGAAAGTGAGCGAGGCGGATCGCGGAAAAGACGAGAATGCGAAAACGAAGAAAGCTCGGAGCAAACAAAGACGTAGCACGGACAGCTCTTGCGCGCTCTCTCCCTGGTCTCCCCTTTTCCGAGATCTTCCAGGAGAGAATCTTACGTCGTCGCCGCGGAAGAGAGTCTTCGCTCGCGAATGCCGCGCTTTCCGTTCGATTTTGCAGAGACTGACGGCCAGCGGAGTGGACGTTATTACGAAGATAAATAGCTCCTCCCATCTCAATATCGTATTCCTCATTTTTTACTCTATTCTCATAGAGCAAAAGATTGTCTCTTTTTTAACGTTACGTTCGAACCGAAATTTTCGTTCTATGTTAGCTTTATATGATATCTTGATCATTGATAATATCTTGAAATTCTTTATCGGTCCTTCAAGTTCGATGGAACTTGCAGGGTTAATGTAGAACCAAAATTTCGACGCGGTGCAGCGACGTGGCGAAATGCCACGCTCGTCCGCGACGAAACGACTTCCGGGATTAAACGCGCGCTGGCAATTCGCTTCAGACACAGACGACGCCGTGTGTACATGTACACGTAAATTACGCGATAGTAGGTGGCAATGTAATCTTGTAACAGATGTGCTTCCGATTGGCGGGCTATCTGACTAATAATACGTAAGCGATCATTCGATACCGTCCATCCGCGATAGCCCCGATAGATAGAGATTAGCATTTCTCATAAACTTGGAATATTACGGTCTGATCGGCAAAGTAAATCGACTGTCAATAGATCGATAGAGAACGCGTTAATTACTCGCGTGGGTGCGATACGTAGCGACGCGTTACGTCGCGCCGTGGCGTATATATTTTAACTACGATTAACTGTGCTGCGTTTAATAACTGCTACACGTTAGCCTCGTTAATTTATTACTCTGGGATTTTTTCGAACGGGACGGGTCTCTCTCGAAGAATCCCGTGACGATGAGAATACGAATGCAAGCGGGAGAATCCGATTTACCTGCATTTATTTATCTCACGGACGATGTGTGAAATCTCGTGAAAAATTCTGACGCACGATTTCCGAGTCTTTTGAAAAAAAGAATGGAAGAAGAGCGTCGAAAACGCAAGCTACACTGTAAATCCGGATGTGTAATTTCACACACTTGGATTTGCAGTATATAGGACGAGGTAATGTAATCAAAAGTATTCACTTTTTCATTACATTACCTTAACATATATGTAATTTCTGTTAGATCAATTTGTCTCTCACCCTCATAGTCTCGAAGATATTCAAGGTGACAATAGTTATCGCTTTACCCTGTGTTTTGCGCGGTGTAATTTCTACTTATATATGTAAAATCACAGTAATAACACGCGTGCAAATGCGTAAAAGGGGGCCACATAAATTTACACGCGTAAACGTGTAAAATTATAGACTTGGGTTCGCGGTGTAGCCGACGTCTGTCGGCCGGTCGAAGATTGGCTGGACGTCAAAAATCCGAGATATCTCGGGCCGCTGCAGTTAGATAGCCCGTGGAAAAGCCGTGGTTGCAGGTGCGGCGGACGACAGTCGAACGAAGAGATCCACTTAGCGCCCACTTTGCGCGGCGTTAAATTCTAATGAAGTCGGCGCTGCTCGATTTTAGCGATCCGATCAACCTTCCGGTAGATTGGGGTGCGCCGCACCTAACCGGTCTGCGGACCGGTCCGCCGTAATGGCCGTCTACCGTATGCGGTCGGCCATCGGGGGCATCTAATAATTTTCGTTTAAACGCGCATCGCCGTGTCCGAAGGGTCCTTTCGCGCAGCTGCTCACGGCGCTGCAGACGAAAGCCCGGGGTATTAGCATGGTAATAGACAGAACGGGGGTGATAGTCGGGAGCGAGTGCGCTCTCTCAAAGGTCGTTCATTATCTTGGCCGGTTGACAAAAT